TTAAAAAAAAAATCACCAGAAACCTTTCTGGCCACTCAGTTTTCCTCTTCTGTGCATTGCCTATTTATGTTATTTGTGTTTATCTTGAGCTGTCTTTTTCTTACAGATTTATAAGGATTGTTTATATTTTCAGAATTTTACCATATTCTTCCAGCCTGTGGCTTGTTTTCAACCTGAATAAAGATGGTTTCTCTTTTGTTTATAAAACTTTAAATTTTAAAATAATAAAAAATTTAAATCTTTCCTTAATGACTGGTGCAATTTTATCTGGTTTTTTTGTTTCGTTTTTTTATTTTTGTTTTATCTGGTTTAACAAATTCTTCCCTATGGCAATGTCATAAAGGCATTTGGTTTTCTTACAAAAGTTTAGAATTTTGTTTTTCAAACTTAGATCACTACTTCATTTGAAATTTAGTTTTATTTCTGGTGTAAGATCAGGATATAATTTCATATTTTCATATGAATAGCCAAATTAACCAGAACCACCATAATTTGTGTATTCTATTGCCAGTTAACAGTTATTATACTAATTTACACTCCCAGCAGTAATGAATGATANCACAAAAGGACAAATTCTATGAGTCCACTTATATTAGGTACCTATATTAGGTACCTAGAGTGTCAAACTCATAGAGACAGAAAGTAGGATGGTGGTTACCAGGGAAAATGGAGAGTTGTTTAATGGGTAAAGCTTGTCAGTTTGGGAAGATGAAACGAGTTCTGGAGATTGGTTGCACAACAATGTGAAAGTACTTAATACTATTGAATTAAAAATGGTTCACACAGTAAATTTTACATTATGTATATTTTATCACAATTAAAAAATTTTAACTGTTGTAACAAAAAATGAGAGATGCTTTTACTAGTTTCTCTTGGTCTTTTGTGTTCTTTTTTTTGTTTGTTTGTTTGATTTTTGTCTTTTTTCCGTGTCCGGCAACGGATCGCAACCCTCAGTGTCGCCCCATTGCCCCCGCGCCTCGCTCAGCCAGTGAGCGGGAACTGGTCTGTATGTGGGATCCGAACCCTCGGCGGGAGCGCTGCCGCACTTCCCAAGCGGCGCACTAGCGCAGTGCACCACTGGGCCGGCCCCATTTTGTGTTCTGCAGTTTCACCACTGCATGGAATACTTTGTATTAATACTGCTGAAGAAAANCAGAAGAACTGATAACAGGGTCTCAAAGAGGTATTTGCACAAGCATGTTCATTGCAGCATTATTCACAATATTCAAAAGGTGGAATCAACACAAGTGTCCATCAGTGGATGAATGGATAAACAAAATGTGTTGTATACCCATAATGGAATATTACTCAGCCTTAGAAAAGAAATTCTGTAATATGCTATGACATGGAAGAAACTTGAGGGCATTATGCTAAGTGAAAGAAGCCAGTCACAAAAGGACAAATTCTATGAGTCCACTTATATTAGGTACCTATATTAGGTACCTAGAGT